TCTATATATAAATGCTGTAAAAACTATTTTTTTCCGAGGAAAACATTACTGAGCTCGTGGTAGCTACAGCATATCTTAGGACAATTGCAGAAAAAACTGCATCCTATTCCTTGCTCATTTCTACTATGTCAAACTATTTTTCATAAGACGCCATAAACTGCTGAATGCATGATGACTCTGTTGATTAGCGATAATTACAGTTACGTCTTAAAGAAATAAACAACCTGGAACATGTCCTCGGGCTCATGGACTGGTGTTCTTTTTGCTTTGTATAGCCCGTCACAGAGCATTGTTATCCTATAAAGTACAGGATTTGTAATAAATATAAATGTGGGACTCAAAACAAACACCTACAAAATATATGAGGTTTTGCAATCGACAATACCAACAAGTAATTTTGATGTAAAGTAGCAAAAAGGTAACTAAAATGCTTACATACTGGTCTGCCTCATAAGAGCGTTTACTCAGAATACTAACGTTACTGGCGAACAGGATCGTGCATTAATACTGTTCCTCGTGACCATATACACGCAGCCACATCGATGGATGACAAAAAATTGCGTTTTGCAAAAAAACGTAAGTTTTGCGTAAAAACGAACTATCGAAATTAATCTTTTTTCGTTTGAGAATATCGAGTAGATCTTAATAATCCTTCTTTTCTCAGCTGAAGAGTTCCCTTGCAACGGGGTTATCGGGTGACGGGCCAAGGAAGAGTTTGAAATCATCACGTGATAGCAGTGTACCTGCTCTGAGTCGAACTTCTTCATTTGATGTTGATGCTTGCGGCATCTTTTGGGTCATTTTGAAGTGCTCGAGGGCTTCCATCTGAACTGGCGAAAGCGTAGAATACTGGCGGGAGAGAAAAAAAAAAGCATTTCACCGATAATTATTACATTACTGTCAGTATTAAGCTAGTTTTTATACCCAAATACTGAAAGATGAGCCAATTTACTGGGCCAAGTCAGTAGATTTTATCAGTACTTACAACGGTGACGGATCGCGTTTCGTTGTTTTCTGTATAGGCTTCTTTTGGTAACAAGCGAGGAACGATCGTTCTGATCCGCCGCTTTCTCACTTGTCGACTTCCATCAGCTGCAGCACCGCCTTTCTGTCCTTCTTGAGCATTCCCAGCGTGAGTCGAAGACTCAGACGGCAATCCGAAAGCTGTACAATTCATTCTACCACAGCGGAGGCATTTGAGGTCACTTACTGTGCGTGCTTCAAACTTTTGGTCAACACATTCACGATGGTAACCGTGCCCGCAACGAAAGACGATAACCTGAAAATTGCCGAAGTATACATAATAAATGCTCATTTTTCATTTTGTTTAATATAGAAACAATTGTAGCTTACAACCTACTCAAAAACATAAGGGAATATACGACCACTAACGAGATTCAGATCTTAAGAAACTTTAAAGTGCTTATTTACAGTCGCTCCCATTGATTTCCAGCATATATGATAACACGACACACAATCTAACGTAGTATGCTGAAACGAATTCTAGTGGCTTACTACGGCAATTAGCTATTAATCAATTCTATTGCATAAGATTTTAAACACTTACTTCTCGAGTATCAGCTCCGGCGTAAGGACGGTTGCAAAATGCGCAGGTTGCCACAGTTGCTACAACAGCCCTGTTAGCAAGACGCTTAAGATCTGCGAGTTTACACGACAGGTCACAATTTATAAGGTTGCTTGTGGTCGCCAACATGGTCTGCTCGAAGTTGTAAGTATCTATCATAGCCCCAATGAAGCGTCTCACCTCACGGAACTCATTGAGATTATATGCAGGATCGGACATTACTTTAGTAAGAATGGAGTAAGGACTCACGTGCCCCATCATTGCATTCAATAACGACGATGTAAGTTCTCTTAGGTCTGGCCGATCTAAAGAATCTTTCTGTGGCTTCATTACCACATCTAGTAGACGAAACCACATTGTCTCACGGTCATCCGCCTGCAACCATAAATGCGAACACACGTTATGCGAAAACGAACACTATCCACGGGACAGCAAGCCCAATCTAAATCTCCAATCTACTTATCCAGAATTGCACATTAGCTTTATTTTTTTAGTTTATATTCGGTGGTTTCATTGGTAATATGGTTGTACACACCTGTAAAGCGCCGCAGTTTCTCTGAAGAAAATAGACGACCTTACCAATTTGGTCGGAGACTTTTGAGCAGTCGCTAGGAGGCGAAGCAGTATCAAGACTCCTAAGCCACTGTATGAGGTGTTGCTCAACTAGGCTTAGGTAGCTCTCAAATGCCTCCGGTATTTCGCGTAGCTTTTCAAGTATAAATGCTGTTGCTTCATATACTCGATGGGTTTTACAAATGGCTAGAACCTCTAGATCGCGGAAATATTCCACTCCTTTGAGGAATGCTAGCACGCCATCGGGGTCGAAGATGCACTTAAGCTCCACATATTTCTCTTGCACGTCGGGAGACACTGTGACCGCTTCTGCGTCCTTGACTCCAATGATCGTGTCCTGACACTCCCCAGCGGCCAACCGATAGACGCCTTCAAGTAAATGGTATTGTGTTTCGGGCATTCCCTCGAGACGATCTAGCACTTCTTTGATCCGTTTCGGCAGAAGATCAATGACAAGTGCGGCCATTGACATCGCATCCACTTGTATCAGTTCGTCGATAACTGCTACAACTTGATTTTCAAGCTGGATCTTTTCGGCGGCTTTATAATCCACCCCGTTTAGGATTTGGGTTATGTAAGCGAAACTTTTTGTTCGTCGCGCAGGGTCGTTAAGATAACAGAGAAGCACTTTATCAAATCGCCTTTGCTGTTCATAAAGAATCTCACAGACACGGTAAAATCGAGCTTGTTCAGCTAATTCCAACAGTCGCTCAATGGGGATATCTGAAAAACGTATGAAAAAATGTTGTGAATTTAGACGTAACATTAATTTCACTAATGATTGCTTAACTGCACAGCATCCTTAAACACTTATTACGGAAAAACATATCATGGAGGTGTTTTCACAGAATTATGGGGCTGCGTGTTTTAGAGATTTGATGATGAGTGTTACTAACTAAGGCTAAAAACAACGAAATCATTGTGATACAAGACAAAGTGAAAGCACGAACGTGCAATACCTTTCAATCCGCCACTCGTTAATAACTCCATCATGGCCTGTTGCCGTTCCTCCATTCTACTCTCCTCGTCTGCGTTAGTCAAATACTCAACGACCTGAAAATTAGTGCTATATTAAAAAAAGCATTAAAAAATTCCAATGAAAATTTTCCTTATTCATATCAAATTTACGGCGAACAAAAACGGAAAAATAATAGGGAACTCGAAAGCTAATCTTAAAATGAGTATCACCTGTTCAAATAGCTGTTTGTCAACCCGGATACCGGTACCGGCTACCTGTTTAGCCATCTGTCTTGCGAGAAAGGTAAAAAGTGCGCTCATTTCGTGTGTCTCGAAACCCTCTTCTCGCACCATTAATTGCAAAAGGATGTCTACGATCTGTTGTTTGTCCTGACCCAGAGTAGCAGCTATTGCTTCTGGGGGCTCAGGGGTTTCCGTAGTTTCACCTGACTCTGCAGACATTTAAAGAATAAGCATTCACATTGAATTTAAGACCTTCCTCAAGTCCTGACCTTTGAAGATTCGCAAGTTATTGAAAACTCAAGGAAATAAGCTATGCAAACATAAAAAAATATTTTAAGCTAACATTTTTAGTTCACGCGTATAACTGAACCATATTACAGTGAGAGAAAATTGGAACAGCGAACCGAACTTATTCACCTTCTGTCGCACTGAGCTGCTCGTCTTGAAACGCGAGCGATACAACATTGAGAAACTCCCGAGCATTGAAGTGTAGAAGTGTTCGCAGACAATAAAAGGGAGGACGTAGTGATCCTGAAGGCACAGGGGTTGTGAGGTACTTCACGATCGCTTCACGAGCACGGCTTGCTTCGGCCAGTGATAACGTGCCGCAGGGGTAGGCTGCACCCGCTAAACAGCAACTGATGTAGACCATCAGCTTGTTGCCCACCTACTCAAGCGTAGTGTAAACATAACGCCAAAAAAGCTCAATTTATGAACTAAAGCTGAAATTTATTAACGTGTGTATTTTTTACTCATATTAATGCTGAATCTATTTTTATCCTATTAATTTTTTAAAGTAGATAATTGATAGTTCAGTGAGGCAGTTCCATTATATAAAACCGCCCTTGCTCAATAATTCATAAATAAAACAGATTCTGTAATATTGTAATGTAAAGTTTTCGAAGTATATGACTGAAAATGCAATTATGTGCTCATTATGTATATGTATATACATTTTTGAAGTGAAACTCGCCTCAATCTCAGCATAATTTGGTTCTTTATTCATAGCAAGAGGTGCTGCAATGATGTCAACCATTTCCTCAATTGGCCCCGTGTAGTCCAACATTGCGGCGTTATGAATGTAGATAATAGCGTCATAAAGACGATTTTCTTTACAAACACTCATTACCTGGGAAAGATATGAAATGCTTATAAGCTATGTAAGAAAAAAACCTCCTACACACAGAAATCTTTGTTTCCATTGCACCGTAGTGATAATATACGATTGCTAATTAAAAAGATCTTGTATTAAAAAGATATATGAATATGATTCTCCTTACCTGGTGTATATCAATGGAAGTTATGGCCAGCTGTACAAGCGATCTCTCCAACTCTCCAAATTTATTTTCGCAACTAAGCAAATTGACAAAATCCTTTACGATAACTGGATTTAACTCCGGTAGATCACCCCCACTTATGTACGGTTGAAGACCTACAGAGGATCATCATACGTAAAACTGAAGATATTAATTAGTGTTTTAACCAATTATATATATTAACTATGTTAAACTAAGTTTATTTCTCTAGAAAATATCTGCTTATATAGAGGTCTACGGTAACGGGAAAGAAACCGAAATTGGGATTACGTTTTAAATGATAGTCAGCGACACTGAATTATAAAATCTAATGCATTGATACGAGAAATCGACACCGATTACGTGTGTACAATACTCCGAATCCTGCAATTCAGAAAACCTAACCAAACTCGTCTCAGTTCTTCTTGAAGCTCACGTCTTAAAGTGCTCAACAATCATATTTCCCTATGGATAGGTTACTCATATAAAGAAAACTAATATAAAGTTCTGAATTTATTCTTTATAGAAATTAATTATAATGTTTTCGATCACTTTAAATTATCTTAACTCTAGAAGGAGCAGACTCTGTCGTAAAGTTAAAATTCTGTTGTTTGTACTTACTAGACAGAAAAACTGTAAGAGCCATCGGGTCTTGTGCAAAAAGCTCATAAAGCGTGTCAAGGATCTGATATTTTGTTGGCAGGATCACCGCATAGTGAATGCACAACGGCACATTGGCCGCGTAATGCGTTAATAAATTATCAATCTTTTGTCCTTCTCGATCAACGAGAAAAAGGCCAAATTCTTCGATTAAAAGGGCGATTTTTTCCGCCACCAGAGCCTGACTTTTTTCGGTTCTCGGTGTCACGATTTCAATTACCTGACAACCAACAAATTCCCATGTTATGCGTCTTTCGCAATCGTTCTGTGTGTTTAAAAGTATCTGCCGGTATCAATAGATATGTAAATATAATTATTATTAATATGTATCATCATTGGTTTGAAGCTGGCTGCAAGGCCATCTTTTAAAAGATTAATCTCAGATCTGTCACTTATTAAAAAATTAGCCGATAAATTGCATACAAACCCTATTAGATGACGTAGCCTCGCCTTCATCGTTGTAATAAGAAATAGCGAACTTCAGTGCTTCTGAATAAAGTTTCTGCTTGGAGAAGAAATTTACTCTCTCAGTCCAGGACCTCATCGAGTAGATGTGAATACCTCGTCCGCCAAGAATCAAACACTGGCTCCCAAACGAGACCATTGTATTTGCACAGGCAGTTTCTCCGATTACAGTCTAAATTTATGATAAAAGGAGATGAGTATGTTACCCATATACTAGCATTAGCCGCAAAAGAAATCGTGTATTCTCGCCGCCAAAGTGACAATGTCGATGCTTTAACATGTTTCGCATGCATGCTATATGTACGCCATTGACCAAAAAACAGCTTACCATAGCCCTACTGACGTTTCCGCCTGTGTCCTCGGCTCGATAGCGACTACCCTCATAGATAATGTCTAGATCAGAGCAATCCATTGACTCTACCTCCTCGTCTAGTCGAACATCGAGAAATTTTAGGCTTTCCCGATGATCAAGAATAGCAAGGGTTTTATAGTTTACAAAGCAAAGTTGTCTCATTGTATATGATACTTCCAACTGCTGTAGGGGCTCAAATGTCACCTTGTGGTTGCTCTGTGTATGAACCTTAAACAGAATACAAACACATTAAGTTTCCCCGTTAATTTTGCAGTTTCTACTCAAAATTGCAATCAAGTCATAAATAAAGGGACGAAGTTACCTATAATAACTATGACATACTTGAAATAACCTTATACAATAATATAAGTACATAATACCTTAATAATAAGAGTAAGTACAAGACATTATACTTTAAATAGGTAGATAGTAGATTTTCGACCAAACGCGAGCACGGGAGAACAGACTTTACGGCTTCCTTCTTGAAAAAACGAGAATTGCCAACTCAACACTGGTATTGTGTCAGTTTCCGCCTGAAAAATCAAGCAAATGCATTCACGAAATTATGCAAAGTAATCTATATAGCTTACAACTAGTTCTGTACATCTATACTGGCTATTAAAAGACAGGGCCGATATTTTTTAGTGGTACTAAAGCTGAAACCACATTTCTGCGGCTAGCAATAGTAAGCATTCTATAACAAAAAAATGTCGAAGATTTACTATCCTTTTGATCAAACGATGGAAATTTGGCCAACAAATATATGTGACAATTTAACAACCGTGTTGAAGCCATTAAACAAGACAAATTGAGTTATTAAACAAACAAACAAACTATTTACCCGAAGCTGGTGAGTGAACACTACGGTGACGACAGGTCGAAGAAGAATAACGATGCATTTTGTAACCGTTCCAAGGGCCACGAGTGACAGCCCCTCTATAGGATGACCGCGCAATCTACACGCTACTCGTAGTGGCTCCATAGCACACACTTCCCCTCGACTATAAAATGAAAGAAAACACGATAAGTCTAAAAATGCACATACTAGATAACGCAGAATTCGGCGTGCTTCATAGTTGTTAAATGCGGAAAGCAAGCAGGTTTTCCACGCAAACGATCTGAAGGTTTTTAATTAGAGCTTTGCGCACGTTAGTTTGAGACGATTTTTGTTTCATTTTTTCTAAATAAATGTATTTTAGATCTAAGATGGAACTTGATTAAAATACGTTATTGTGTATCCGATGTACATGTCTACCCGATCTCGCCGTCTTTATTAGAGTAAATAACTCGGCTTTCGATGAATGTACCCCTACACCCATAAATTAGCTGAATGCAACGACCCATTAATTTAATGTCAGAGTCCCACTGCTATATGTGGTTCATGATATTACGCCAATATTTAAACATGTGTTTAATTATCCGTACCTTCCGGAAAAGATGCAGTTGCTTTCATACGATCTTGATGTGAGAATCTTCCTGAAGTTTACCTCGAATACTGATCCTCCAGTGTCGGTGACCACTGCCGTGGTCGGATCTCCGGTGAAGGCTAGTAGCAAAACACCATGATTGGGCGTATGCACATCCGAAAGGTTTCGCAGAAGTTTTCCGTTCGACGTGTCCCACATCGTCATCTGTGCTTCAAGTAGAGTAAAAGAAAAACGCACACGTTACCATGGCAAGATGGGCGTGGAACTGTGTACTTTTACGTGACGTAACATATTACAGGGACAGGAAAGCTACTTTAAAAATGAAACAAGAGTTGCTACTGACATGTCCTTTGGAATGGCCCACGATGATTCGCGTGGCATCAGAATTGAAGGAGACGGCTGACACAAGACCATGATTATTTTCAGATGCGCCCAGCTTACATCTGAGAATTTGTTCCGAATCTGGAAGGTGTCGAAATAATGGGCAATGCAAATAATTATGTACTTTTTCGTTTCTTGAGACAGTTAAGATAATATAAAGATCGATATATATATATATATATAATATAAAGATTGTGTTTGGTGAAAACGAGCCTGTTTTTGCAAAGTATAACATAAGAGCCGAATTTTAAAGTCAACGATGATCATTTCGCATTTTTCCCTGTAATGATGCTTTTCACAAATTACATTTTATCCAAGAAAGAGGTGCATTACGGCAACACCCAGTGAAGTCCTTAATTAATATCACGTTATGGTAGCCTAAAAGATGAATGCACACCTTGACAAATTAAGGCTCTTGACTTCGATTTCCAGACTAAACTCATCTGCTTTTTTTGTTGATGTCCTGGGAACACTCGCAGTATCTTTTTTAGACTATAGGACTTAAGGAAACCGCTAGTACATTTTCGAGTTAATTATTTCTCTCAATAATCATTTTTCTCATCAGTAACATATAATCCGAACACTTATTAATACCGAAAACGAGGGTGACTCCATTCGAAGTTCCGATGGCGATGAGCGTGGCAACGGCCATGGCTGATGGAGAACCAACCTCCCCACTTTCAAATGCTCTTTGCAACTGCGCTCCAATTTGTCGTAACTGAACATGACGTACCACACTTCCTTTAACCTAGGAAAAACAAGGGCCATTCGTTATCAGAGATATCATAGATAGGCTTAGAGGTAAATAAAAATTGCGCTGAAATTCTGGCCTACCGCTGGCTTCGGCGACCGTCTTAGTTTCGATGTAGAAGATAGCGAGCTGATTCCGGAAGCAATCGATAGGGTGTCCGAAATCTCATTGAAATTAATCTCAGAACAAAAGAACGGAGTGGACCCACTGGCTGCATCGAAGTCTCCAGAAAAGTGCGCCTCCTCCTGTGATAGGGATAAATGAAAGTTAGGTGGGGCGAACAGAATTTAAAGCATATCAGGGATTGCCGAGTGGCTTAGTGATAGTTTAATGTGCCCATACATTCAATCGTCTACTGGTTTTTATTTTTTCGAATAAATGATGATAAGTAGCAAGAAAAGTTCAAACAGTAATTATTTTTTCACAATATATTCATTTAAAGCGCTTCCTGTCTTCTTTCAGGCAATGAGCCTCTAAACGGATATCATTGAGAGTCATTAACCTTCTGCAAAAAAACTATATTAATAATACAGTTTTACTCACATTGCTAAGAGTTCCATCGAAAACATGTGCAACTTCACCATTAACAGGATCCTAAAATTTAAGAAATAAGCAACAACATGAAAGTGACCATTGTTCAATCCTTTCAATTTTTAATAGATAACAATGAATAGTAGATAATAATAAATAACAATGAATAATAATAGTAATAGAAGAGCTGTACAGATGTCTCCTTAATCAGGATTTTGCTTAATCTAGCTAATCTATTTAATTCATAACAAATATAATAAAATTTGAGCGGTCTTTGATTCGCCTATAGAAGCGTAAATTTCAACAGAGACCCTCCCTTTTATTTTAAAACAAAGCCTCATCCGTAGAATGACTTAACGACAACTAGGTCACGAAGTTAAAATCTAAAAACGTATATTACACGATTTGAAGCTGAGCAAACACAATCAATAGAACTGAGTTATAATAATGTAATTTCTAAATAATTGTATTGTCTTATAATGGCGAGGCATTATTACTGCTACGCCCATATTGGTTTTACAACTGACCTAAAATCCTGCCCTACACACGCAACCGGAAACAAAACAGAGTGAGCAACTCATAATAACTTTCCACAGATTGCATACGAACTGGGTACTCTTTGTTTTTCTACAGATAGCTATTACATTTTCGCTGTGGAAGATCAGTCATATTTAGTGAACTAAATTAATTTACTAGATCAAGTAAAATTCCGATAAAGGACATGTTTGTTCAGTTCTTTATATATATATGGGTGTTATATATATATATACATTACTTGATGAACACTTTGAACATGCCTCTGCATGCGACACTTGAGAGAGGAACCAAAATATTACAAAGTACAACAGCAACGTTATTCGATTGATTAAAACAAGACCTGTAAAATAGTGGGTGGATGATGAAACAAAAAGGTGTGAACATTTGATGGACTACGTAATCACAAGTTATCGCACTCACATTAGTGCTGCTACTAGCCGGTTCCGATTCTAAAGAATTCATCTCCGTTCACCTCCTTGAACCAGTTGAGTTTTTTAGAACTTTCAGGTGTTATTTGCTCTCCATTCAACGAGACTCACCGAGCCCAGTCTATTCGTGTGGTAAACCACCCCTTTAAATATAATTATCAGAGCCCTATACGCAGGATAAACATCGGCACAAACGCACACGACAATATTGGTGCTTCCCCGCATGAGGCTTTCGCAACGGAGAGGGGAGGCTCTTCCTGCCAAACCACATCTGCGAGAAGAGGTTGCTATGAGAAAGGTGTTCGAATACTACACATCTGCAGATGACACATGGCCGTATCCCCAGTCAGTGTAACGGGCCCAAGTGATAATACCATACAAATTCTACAGAAATCATGTACGAGCCTTCGAATACTACCCTTTTTTATACTATTAAATCTGAGTATTGCTTGCTGTCAAGATACCGTTCCATCTCTAAATCTCAAGAATTTCAACAACCATGATGACATAGTCAATGGTCATGATAGCGTAACATCTTTGACTCATTTTGGTTCTTAATAACAAACAACATGATTCGAGAGTGTTAATAATAACTTTGCGGTTTATTAAACTTGATGCTTATCAAAAATTTTAACAACAGATCAAATGTCAACTGTGTGCCTACTGAATTCGTATCATTTAAACCTGCAAATACAATAAGTAGAAACATACAGATTTTTGCGTTGTTTTTTTAGTTCGGCAAACAATGCAAATATTATTATATATGATTTTATAGTTTCAAAATTTCTTTTTCAACTGCCAGTGTTTCTTTCATATCTTAAATTCGTTTACATCTTTTGCGCACTAAACCGATCGGAGCAATTGAATTCGAATATTCGCGCGTTTACTCCATTTGATTAGCCCCGCTAAAGGGCGCGGACGACTTTCCTTCAGCCCAATGTTTAAACAGTTCGTTGGCTCAGCCATATAGCCTGGTACTAGCCCCTTTCACAGTAGTGCTCCGATCATGGCGCCCGCTATGACGCTCGTTTGACGTACCGGTTTTTTAAGCTGTCGCTTCAGTAGAGGTATTCATCGGCCGACGAGGATCCTACCGCGGCACCGAGTCACATGAGAATTTGCCCCGGTTTATTGTAGGCGCCGCCGTCAACGTCGCGAATTTCGTCGTCGTGGCCGTTGTTATTATTATGATTGTGATTCCTGCGCCTGCGGTGAATTCCGAGTTGTGATCGAGCTATGCTGCTGTTAACAAGAACGAAAGGCCCCCTTCTGTGAACGTTGTGATTTTCTCCTAAACGAGTGTAGCCAGTTCATCGGTGGTTATTTTTCTTGGAGTTTTCTTGTGTATATGGTACTTCATAGACTTGATATGTACGAACTGCTACGATCCGTCTCGTGATCGCCACCGTTTGAAGTAACAGTGGCATAGTTGCGTAGTGCGACACAAATGAGCCGGAAGCTCCTGACGGGGCAGCAGGGAATAGGCGCCCTGTTGCTGTGACGTTCGTCGACTTCATTGCAAGTCGACGGTGTGTATATCTGTATGCATTAATTTGCCTCTAAAGATAAGTGTCCAAATTAAGGTTTCTTGTAGCGCGGTCGTTATAGTGGTGAGTATTGTTTTCCTTAAAAAATTTTCTTTGCTTTACAACTATAAGATGGTCTGGGAAGTGAACCCTATAGTTTCGTTGTTCGTTAGGTAGTTAAGCGTCGGGATATAATGATGGACAAATACATCTGTTGAAGTACGGCGTTTTGGGAAGGTTTCCGCTCTGTGTAAAGGACCAGTAAATTCGCGACTTGCCGCCAAAACCATTCCGCCTATCGATGGCAGAGGCGGCCTAATACCGATGTGTAAAGAAAGCGACAGATTTTCACTATTTTCGCTCCAAATACAGAGGACTATGATGTTCAGATTGGTTCTGCTATGATAATTTTACGTGGTGCATGTTGTCAGTCGCACTGATATCTTTATAGTTGGTTTATGGGGTATCGATCGCCCTGGTAAAGCTGTTGTGACTTCCTTCTGAATAGGTAGTGAGACTGGGATACTGTTTGGTCTGTTGAACTGTCACTCGGGTTTATAAGGTTAGTGACGAAAATCTGGTTAAAACTAACAGATAATTTAAACAACACCTTCAAATTGCATCTATATGAATTTCTTTAATTTGTTGCCTGTACGTCAGTTGATTTGAAAAGCTGTACGTTTCTGAAATTTGAGCGCCAATCCTCAACCCTTTCGTGCTTTAGTTAGAGGCAAAATACATCTTGAATAGTACAGATTGAGACCACCAGGTTAGTTAACTGTAATAGTGCATATATAAATTGGAACAAATTAGCTGGATATCTAATAACCGCTGTTCTTTATCGACTGAGCCAACTACACTTAATAATAACAAACTCTTTCTCATGCTTGTTAATTGCAAATGTTCAACAAAATGTGCACCAACTCAGATACGTTTGTCGGACTGTTATAATATGACGCTTAACCAGTAGTAGTACCAAGGCTGCTTTTCGCGCAGTTTGATCTATTTAATTGTTTTTGTGAGGACAGATCAGGCGCTGTTCGAGTGGATATTTTCTTAACAAAGGCCCTACTGGAGTGACGACGTAACCTCATTTTGTGTTAAAAGCTGCTCCAGCGTTGATAATGATATTCCGTTTTGTGCGTTAAATATAATCTGTTATTGAAAGTGCATGAAGAAAAACTAGTGAACTCTCACGCTAAACAAACACACTAAAGTAAAATCTGTGAAGATGACATTATAACAAGTTAACACAAGATAAGGCGACAGTGAAAATAGTTATGATTTATCAGTAAGTGAATCAATTGAACGGGTGCTTTTGCTGTGCAAGTTCCAGTTGTAGTTAAATGTAAAGATAACAATAAAAATAGTATAACAGATACTAAAAAATATATATAAAATATGATTTTTAAAAAAATCGTTGACAAAATGCTTTGCTTTACAGAAACTAACAGGCAGATATCGCTTAATTAACGAACAACATTGACATTTGGCCGACAGCTTAACCCCTAACAGCCACACCGTCGAGCAGTTGGCCTAAAAAGGCCAAAAAAGAACATACAGAGTGCAGAAAGATAGGAAATGGGGCCCAAGAAGCGCCCTCCTACCGACGAAGATGAGGAGGTGATAACCCCATTGCGTCTCTCGAAGCGGAGACGTCAAGGTGCCGACCTTAGTGATATACTCAATGGCTTTGCAGACTCGCTTAAGGAACTAAAGTGCGAAGAGGAAGACAGGTTAGTGTCACATATAAATGGTATTAAGCGTGTTTCGAAATACGAGTTGCCTTAACGTTTTAGGCAACGATATTATATGCTCGCTAAAAATAAACCTGAAATACTTCCTAGTCTGCAAAACCGCTTTAAAAATTTCAACACCTTGGCCTCTGTCTGACGCGTGGCAACAGTTTAGTGTCACTTATACTAATTTTAAGAACTTTTCCAAATACGACTGTCAAAATTGCTGAGAAAAATTAAGAAAATTACTTAATTTTCTTCTATATATCCGGTGCCATCACTTGAATTGAAAACCAACAGTTCACTTAGTGGTGAATTTGATTCTGCCTGTCCCTTTGTTCCAGGTTCTACCTCGACCCGTTTATGCGTCTACCGAAGAAACGTTTTATGGGGGATTATTTTGAAGTGGTCAAAGAGCCCATCGACTTTAGTCGAATTCAACTTAAAGTTCGCAACGATGAGTATGCCTCAATTGATGACTTCGTCGCCGACTTCCAGCTGCTCGTCGATAATGCGAAGCTATACTATAAAAAGGACAGCCAGGAATATGCTGACGCTGTCGAGCTGTGGAACCACCTAGAGGAGTTACGTAAGGAGGAACGCGGCGGAAGCGTTGTACCATCCGAAGGTGATGCGGACGAATCACTTGAAGTCGATCCAATGGGTGACCAAATGGCGGAAATGTTCAGTATTGTGGTCAAGGCGACGGATGAAGGCCGTGAGGTAACGGACGTGTTCAAAATTCTACCATCGAAGCGGGACTACCCTGATTATTACCAAGTGATAAGCCAACCTATTGACTTGAAAACAATTGCGCAAAATATTCAAGAAGGTACCTACCAGTCGTTACACGACCTGGAGAAGGATCTAACTTTGATGTGTCGAAATGCAAAAACCTATAATGAACCGGGCTCTGATATCTACAAGGACGCCGCATTCCTTCAGAAGTTGATTAAGAGTACACGCTTCGAAGTGGAGAATCGTCGTGCTCCCGCTGTATTTAAACGGGGACGGCGAAGTGTCATAAAGGCGGCCCACTCACTTGTCGAGAGTATTGCCAGCCTCGAGGACAGCGATGCAGATGACGAAGACGTGGATGAGGAACAAGAGCTCGATGACGATGACGAGGTCGAAGAGGAGGATGCGGATAATGTTGAAGTCGAGGTGAAGGTTCCAAAGCGAAGAGGTCGTAAACCAAAAGCACTTAAGATGACTGAGGAAGAAGAGGCAGGAGAGGAAGAAGAAGATGAAGACGAAGACGAAGACGACGACGACGATGATGATGATGATGATGCAGAGGAAGAAGAAGAAGAAGGCAGCGAAAAGGAACCGGAAATCGACAAGAGTGTTATCTGGGATCTGATCTTAACAATCAGAATGTGGCAGAGCAGTAATCAAAGCGCATCTACTCCTCTAATCTCGGATCAATTCATGCGTATCCCCAGTAAGAAAGCGGCTCCCGATTATCATCAGGAAATTAGCAAACCAATGTCATTCCGAAAGGTCGCTACAAACATCACTAAACAAAAGTATAACTACGTAAAGGAGGTTATTGCCGATCTCGACCTGATCTTTAAAAACGCCAAAGTGTACAATAGGCCGGATTCGAAGATCTCCCAGGATGCAAGTAGCCTTCTCAAAGCTCTACATGCCAGGGTCAGGGAGCTCCAAGAAACAGTACCGAATTTCTTGAAGCTTAAAGTCCCTGGAGTTACTGACGCCGATATCGAAAAATCGGATTTGGTCCTGAAAGGCTGCCGTAAGCTTCGCCCCGATAAAACTGAAAATCCGTTGAAGGCTAGGTGTCATGCACTCTACAAGTCAGTCCTTACTTACGTAAGTAGATTTTTTTAGTTTATTAGGTATGCACTGACCCTTGTTTGTTGCCTATCGTTAGCTCTACAAGCGTCTATCGAACCCATTCTTAGTGTCTGATTTGTAGGTGAAGTTTTGTGATCGAAGATACCTATGCATAACGCCTGACCACTAGCAAACGAAATATTATAAAAAAACAATACACAAGATACTGCTCTTGTCTTCTTAAGAAATTAATATGTTTGGTGCAGAATTTTTAATGGTTTCTTTATATTTCGTTAATAAATGATAGCCGTATACCAAGTGGGCTGGCAATTATTAGAGCAACTATTTTAGAACCCAGACCAACGTCTTTTTTTTTGAGGAGGCTTTGGTTTTGTTGTTTATCTCTAGGTATTTGTTGTTGAACTTGGACGACGAACATCCAATTCTAGAAAAAATATTGCTGTGCTGCTGTTTTCTAGCGCATATAATAATAGCTTAGTCGCGGCATTGTCGTTTATACTTTACAGGAAGAAGATGGTCGTACTCTGATCGACCCATTCTTGAAAAAGCCCGACCCGGAACAATATCCCGACTATTACGACGTCATTCAGACTCCGATAGACATGCAGGTGGTACATGAACGCATCCGTCACCTTCGTTACGCGACCCCTGAAGCGTGTGTAGCAGACCTTCGGCTTATGTTTGAAAATTGTCGTACATACAATGAGGAAAATTCTCAGATTTATCAGGATGCCAACACGCTGGAAAAGGTTTTACAGCAAAAGTTAAAAGACCTAGGCCCGTACACGACACCTCCAGACTCGCCTGTTCCGACAACACCGAGGAAAAGCGGTGGAAAGAAAGTGTCTCGAACCAAACTACAGACACTTTACGACAAAGTTTCTAACTACGTAGACAACAAGGGCCGTAACATAAGTAGAATCTTTAATAAATTACCATCAAAGCTCGAATATCCAGAATATTACGACGTCATCAAGGAACCCATTGACTTAGAGATGGTCAAGCAAAAATGGGGAAGGGGCAGCTACGAGTCCCTCGATGACATGCTCCATGATTTACTACTTATGTTTGATAATGCATGTACGTATAACGAGCCCGACTCACAACTATACAAAGATGCCCTTCTTTTGCGTAAAGTGGCACTGCAGACTAAGTTAGAACTAGGTGCGGCGGATCTCGAGGATGGTGTGCCCGACATGAGTGGCATTGTTCTCGAGCTACTGAGCAATTTGTTTACTTCGACATACAATCACCAGGACGAGAAGACCGGCCGCTGTTATACTGATTCGCTGGTCGAATTCAGCGAAACTGCCGAATTTGTAGCGGCCGCCGAGGATGAAGGCGCTCGCGTTCTCAACCTTGACCTAATCAAACGTGCCATGGATCGAGGCAACTATCGTCGGCTAGACGTTTTTCAACAGGATATGTTCACCTTCTTCCGGCGTGCACGTAAAGCGACGAAAATCGATTCTACGGTGTGGAAGGATTCCATTATTTTGCAGACGTTCTTTATCCACTACAGAGATGAGCTCTGTCAGAATCGATTCGAGTCGCCCGCACTTTCGTACACAGAAAATGATCTTGCCGATGAGATTGGTGAGCAGTATTTATTATTATTTCATCTTTTATAATAGTGGCTATGTCCACTCGTAACTCGTAATTGTAATTAATTCCTATCAGTTCCTTTTTAAAAATCTGTGCTATATTGCTAAATCAATCGCCCTATCTGCCAGGATATACTTTTAACTGTGTATAGCATATATACCAATATGTAAGCCTTTCTTGTTCTGTTTTTAACAGACAAAACAAAAGCAGAGAAAACCGTGCAGGAGGCTTCTGATCAGGAGACACCAAAAGAAATAACAAAGTCAGCAGCGGCAGACGATGGTGTCCAGCAAATGGACGTCAACGGGATGACGGTGCGTGTCGGCGATTATGTGTACGTGCAGCCCCGAGAAAAGGGGATGGAACCGCACGTCACCATGATCGAAAGACTCTACACGGATGAGAAAGGCCTTCATTGGCTATTCGGCACGTGGTTTTACCGGCCGCATGAGACGTTCCACCTAGCCTCCCGAAAGTTCCTGGCCAAAGAAGTGTTTAAAAGTGACAGTCATACAAATACCCTGCTCAACGAGGTTATGGGCAGATGTCACGTTATGTTCGCGAGAGATTTCTTCACGACGCGTCCCGTAGGCTTTGCCGATCAGGATGTATTCGTCTGCGAATCGCGCTATTTCCCGAAAATGAAACGTTTTCAAAAGATCAAAGTATGGCCATTGAATGATGAAATTAAATATGTTCCCCGCGAAAAGCCCCTCGAGGCCATTCGAGTGCCTTCGATTTTCCGGAAAAAAGATTCAGACGATGAGAAGACTCAGGACGGCAAGGATGGGTTGAAACGAGAGAGTGATGACGATTCCAAGGAGCTCATCATGCCCGCCTTACCTTTGCAGGACGACTATCGCCCCTGTGACAGGGTCATGCCTGTAAGTTATCAGAAGAGAAATATAAAGCTTGCTTTACGTATGACTGGAGTAAGTATCTATAACTGAGGTGTGTGGTGAAAACGGATTCATTAATGAACGATATGTTCAGGAAAAACGTAGTTTCCTTGCACTCCCATTTGTTAAAATTACGAATATATACGTATGTGCTTCATTGCGTAAAAACTCATAATGATTCATTTTGCAATGTATATTTTAATTGGTTTTCTTTTCTAGGACGTTATGTTGCCGACCCCGTCCGGAGACGACAATGAAAACACGTATTATGAGCAAATCACCTTTTCTGGTGGAACGTACCGTACTGGCGACTGCGTCTATGTACGTACAGAAACTGATAACCTGATGGCTCGCATTGAGAAAATGTGGACCGATAATATGGGTGTGGGCTTTTTTCATGGACCGTGGTTCGTCACACCAAAGGAGATACATGCCTCGGGTGCAGCTCCAGGTAGACAGTTCTTCCGACAAGAAGTCTTCCTATCATCAATTGAAGATACTAACCCGCTTCTTGCGATCACGGGAAGATGTCACGTAATGGACCTTGAGGAATACATGAGCAGTAAGTATGAACGATGCTTATCGTCCAAGCAAGTCATAAGCGTTTTACAAAAAAAAAAAAAGACCAGTACATACTTGTTGCTTTGTCAAAAGAATAGCTTCAAATGTGGCATGTAGCTCAAGTCATACTGTTATACACTTTATACTGTTATATACATACTGTCATACCGCAGCATAATGCCTATATGTATACTACTTCAAGTGTGCCCGAGATGCTACCTTTTTACGAATAAAAATCTTCTCTTGTTCCTCATGGTGGTCGTCTTTCAGATCGACCGACAGAGATTCCTGAGGAGGATATCTACGTGTGCGAAAATGCCTACAACGAAGGCGACAAAGTAATCACTCGCCTTGAGCACGGCTTACGGAAAATTCTTCATTCGGATGCGGTACTTGTTGATGAAGTGTATACGCTTCGGCGGCCGCCGCGACTTGCTCGAGAAAGCTTCCCGTTTGTGCCGAAAACCTCTCAACAGGAGCCTGTCACATCTGCACCACCTAAGCCGACTCCGTCTGCTGTGCCAGTTCCACCCAATGCAAGCAATCCTGCGTCGACAAGGGCGCCCCCACCCGGGTTAATCAGTGACAACGAGGACAGTAATGACCTATCGGTTCGGGATGAAACATCGAATCATTCGACGTCGCAAATGTCGATGTCAACGTCAGCATCACAACCGCAGGCAGCCACTCCCTTGTCGACAAAACAGAAGCTGGTTAGCAAGGTGAAACAAATGCGAATCAGCGGCTACATCGTCTACTCGACCGAGCGAAGAAAGGAGATCACGGTAGAAAACCCCGACCGCTCGTTTGGCGAACTCTCGCGAATGCTCGGTAACGAATGGAAAGAGTTGCCACCAGAAACAAAAGCGCTTTACGAGGAAAAAGCAGCTAAGCAAAATGAAATCAACAAAATAAAGCACGCGGAAATGTTCAACGTAAATAACAGCATTGCGTATACGGAACGGTGAGAGAGCAATTTTACACAACAAGCGCACAACATCGATTCCAGAAATAGGGTGCCTACAGAGACTGGACTTTTTGCCATATGTTAATATCTAGTGATTTACCTATTTTGTATCTATTATTATACTTTTTTGTTACATTTCAGAGATAAAAATTTGCAGATCAAGTACGCACTTTTGGTTGCGAATACATTGTGATAATACCTACGTTTTTGTGCCTTGCAGAACTGCCGCTGACCTTCTAAAAGTGTTTGAATGCCACTGGGACAACTGCGATTATCAGTTTGAGGATCAGGACGATCTCACATATCATCTGACTCACGATCCTTCAGGTCATATTTATCAGACATTCATTAAACTCAATGAAAGTGTCAACTTCCAGTGTCGTTGGCTGATGTGCGGTCGTGTGAAGAAAAGCCAGCCCCCGTTCAACACGATTCCGAAGCTGCTTAAACACGTCAAAGACGTACACGTAAAGACGTCGCAGCGGACGATTCTGCCTGAACAAAAGACCAGGAATTTCTGCACCAGACGACTTCAACATCAGCAAAATGCGACGCCTGGAGGACCGATGCATCCGGGTGTCCATCCCGTCTCTCATCCGGGCCTGCCCGGACAAATGGTGCACATTTCGGTACAAGGCCACCATCCAGGTCAGATTATGTCGCAGCAGCAAATCCACATGACCGCCCCTCCAGGTAAATTACCTTTCAGAATAAAAGTGTCATTGTTAGAATACGGATTTGCAAGACAGATATGAACAGAAGAACAGAAGTAGAACACATTGGTACCCCTAATCTGACGACCTTTTAGAAATTATGCTCGCCACTATATTCTCATATATAAGAACCACTCATGAGCCTATTTAGCGGTTTTGAGGTCTGTACAGATGTCGGTGATCTGTTATATCCAATCTCTATGATTCAGTGTCAAGAAATGCTTAATTGATATTTGGAACAATTTGGAAGTTTGCACTCTTAGACGCTACCGGGTTTTATTTATTAGCACAAGCGCGTGATAACCCCAGGGTACTTATGCAATTTAATTGGTATGCAGTCATTTGAACGATACGCGTACCAAGTTGACTTAATATTAAAAAAAACTCAAACAGAAGTTTATGTGGATGTACAGGGTAACCATAGACATTATTAACTTTGCGCCAACTGGGAATCGTTATTTCATTTTTGCTCCAGTTAACTAACAATTTATATATATATGCTATTGCGAGAACCTGTTGGTGTTGTGACACCTAAAAGAATCGTGTGTCTCGTACAACATATATTCGGATACAGCGTTTTGGTCTGTAATAAGTGTGCCCCCACCCTGAGCTGCATATTGTTTTCCCTCTACAGTCTTGTGGATGACTTTATTTATTAAATAGTACGTAGAGCATGTATATGCCATTTAAGACTACACTATATAGATTGGTTAGATGAAGATATGTTTGACTTTCTTAAAATTATACCCTCAAGTACATTGATTAACTAGGGTATAATTGTAGTACTTCATCATTATCATCACCATAACCTTGTTTTCCACCTGAGCCGGCCTCTAACTGTGATTATCGCCCATTGTTTTTTTCTCTGTCTGTTGTCCCTTCTTCTGTCTGCTCTGACGTTTGGCCCAATGTTCCTTCGCTTCTTCTTATTATTACGTTATTATCTTCATTATTGTTGTATCGTTTCCGTGTGGCTTTGGTGCGTGTGGTTATGTTTGTCTGCGCCCGCATTCCCCTTCAAATAAAGGTCACGGAGGCATAGGGATGCAAGTACCCCCCGGGTCATCCGTGCACGGTGGCATGCAAACTCAACAGCACATGCAGTATCCTCACCATCAACACTATCCAGGCGGCCCCGGGGCTCAGCAAGGGGCGGCCCATCCGCCAAATGCTGGCTCACACCATCCGGGACATACCGGCGCCCCTGGCTCAGCACAAATGCACCCTAGCCATCCTGCCGCTGGCTATGCTGCCCATCCGGGCTACCCACATGGTACAGTGCCCCCTCATTTTGCCATTCCTGGACCACCTCCCATGCATAACGGCGCACATGCCCACGGGCATGGTAAGTCATTGCTCATCTCATTGTATAATCAAATACTGACATCCCCTGTGTCAAGACGACATCATTATTTCATCTGTGGCAGTGATGGTTTTTGCTTCAGATTCTTTCTCTAATCGTAATACAGTGTAAATAGCACCCGTCGTATGTAGCCGTGCCTGTTTTGTCCTTCAGCGTAAGTGCGTACTTAATGTTGCTAAATCTAACATTACTCCTTCTGTAACGTGTGTAAAAACGCTAGAAATAATTATTATTATGCGTAAAACACATGCAACATGATTGTGTTTGGTGAAAAAGAAATTCACTAGATTGAACTTGATACGATTTGTGTTGAGGGGAAAGCTCATTTTGAGGTTGCGTACAAACCTTCCTGTTACCAGTTGATAAAGCAAAAGCAGCTGAAAGTTTGGAATATACTGGTAACTGAATTAACATGTCCGCATTAGAATATCATTCAGTTGACGTCTTTGCTTCCTATTTTAACTAAATAGTGTAATTTATGTTTACCTTTCTTACCGTTCAAGTTTTAGATACGTTAACTCAACACTTATGACTGCTTTTTAATCTGGACAGGTCCATCAATGTCTGTTTCGCCGGTGGCCGCTGCTCGTCCAGTCGTTGCCGAGCCTTTGTTCGTCGCCCCGCCACCGAAGCCCCACAAACTGCTTCACACATTTGCTTATATAAAATACATTGAAGGTCTCAACCAGGAAGGACAGAAAACCGTATCCAACTGGGATCAGCAGCTCAAAGCAACCCGTGACAATACATCACCGCCAGCATCGCATAACGGTCCCCAACAGCTGCCCATGCATTGGCTAGCGAACGGAGCAGGTCTTCACGGAAGTGCAGTTAACGCACTTTGGGCGTTGCGTGACTTTATGCTCAAGGACGCCCTTAATATCAACCACATCGATTAGGTGTCGCTATTAAATCGATTGCCTTCCAATGATCTTCATTTGGGTGTGTTGAAACAAATTCCATTGTCTTAATGTGACAGTAATACGACTGCGGTGCGCTAAGAGTCAATATAAAAAGAAGGCGCAGCCTGCGGATTAATTAGGTGATGGCAACCTACAATCGATTATATGTTAACCTGGTCATTCGACTAGTCGTTACGAATGAAACGTTGTGTCATCGGACTGATTATCTGTCCAAGCTGAATGGCACACCATAGTCAAAGGCTATCTCATGGTGAATTATAAATAATCATTTGTAGACGGACAACGATGAGGAGTGAGCGCTTATGATGGACATCAAATAATACAAAATAATTATTATAATGTTGATGTTTCTTAAATGGAGATCCACTAAAAGTATGATAGGTGGACATTATTATATATACTTGTACGACATATATATACATATATATTGTGCATATATTGATGTGAGAAAGAGAGACTCATTTAGAAACAAATGCGATAACATTGACATGGCACAACTGAAAAAACTATTGACAGCTGATTTATTCCTGGCACGAATGGTTATTTTTTTCTTGTTTCTTTTTGTGGGGCAGACCCGGTCTGCACAGGATGGGTGTGCTACAAGTTTGTTAGACAATGGCATTTTTCTTTACTTCAGTAGTACTTTTTTAAAAATGAAAGGGCCAAATTTCAAAATATTTGAGACAGTAGCTGTCACTATAAACCATGCACTATGAAATGATGTTTCGAGTCTTGGCGTCCCGAGCTGTCTACGGATGCACAGAATGGGTCAGAGCAAATAAAAATAGTGAGTTTTTGACTGTGGTTTCTGATGACGGGTGATCGACATCTGTGAGACCTGATGAAGTATCCAATAGCGCGAACCCGCGAAAAAAGTAACTCATTCTAGTTTCCAGTGCCGACTACCCTTCACTAAATAAGTCCGTCACTTTAAAGACATTTTCTTAATTTTTGGAAATGTAGGGTATCTTTACGCCATTGTAAAGAGATACCGTTCTGGAAAATCAGGAAGTAAGAGGTAAAATGTCTTAATTTCAATGAAACTTTGCAACAGTTACATTTGTTTTTGTGTTAGTCAAGTCTATAGGCGGGGACAGTGCTTATAGGCAGTGTTCAATAAGCTAAAAAACGTGTTTTAAATGGTGCATACGTAAAACAAATGACCAAGATAAATATTTTGTCAAAGACCATACTGCGAAGCACGGTCTCCGTTTGTAAAGAACAGTGGCGGATGAATTGTAAAGACCGAAAATACTCCAGCCACTGCAAATTATAAACAAAATTAATTGTTCGACCAATTTAAAGCAGTAACCAATGTGGAAGAGGTCTTTGGCTCTGTATGTGAAGAGATATTCTCGTTGAAATACCAATGAATACGGTCACGAATATTGTAGCAACATTTTGCGGTAGCAAGTATCTTGCTTATCTATTTGTGCTCTATATATTCACATATACGGATACAATTAAAGAGACGAGACAATATTAAAAGATGAAGAAAAAGCTAAAGTTCTACCGGAATGTAATTAAATTATGTACAATAAATGCGCAATGAAAAGAGATAATTAATAATCATTATCATAATAATAGTAATAACAAAAGAAACAGATAGTTGAAGCAAATGAGATCGAATCGGTAATTTATAGAAACATGCATATTTTACGAAACAAAACAGTGAAATCGAAGATACCGTAGTGTATAAAATACAATTGTTTTTAATTGGAAGCTGGTACACTGTATTACGGCCATTGCTACCGTTCGTAAGAACAGTTTTTTTATAACAAATTATTTATGTTGCGTTGAAACAGTCCATAATAATTACGGAGGTACTCATTGAAGACATTACAATAGAAACACCACTACAGATACATTATGTAAAAAAATTACATTATCGGGTATATATTGATAATTAATATATTAGACTTCTTCATCGACAAATACAGTAAGATACATTATATCACAAACACACAGAAATTAGTTTAGTAGTAGCAACTCAGTTATTCCTCTTGTTCTTTTAACTTCATAGTAGAATCTTCACCGCTCTCCCGCCTGGCCAGTTCTTTAGTAAGATCTTTCTGTCTTTGAAGGGTGACAACGTTCTCAATCTGGCGTCGTTTTCGACGCTCGATATCGTTGATAATACCCTGCTTTAGTTGACTCCTGCTCATATCATGCGATTAACCTATGGAATTAGTTATTCGCATTTTTGCATGTATAGGTTTGCTGTCTTCTTTGGATTTACTATGCCAAATTAAGTTTAACCAGGAGGCGAAAATAAATTCCTAAAATAATTCGTTTCGATTGCAAGTAACCGAAATCATTATTTTACATTTCGAAAGTGGAGCTCGCCTTATAAACAGGATTTAGGAGTTCACAAAACTAATATGCCATTGTTACGGATCACAGAAACACTACTAACAGGCTTATCCATAACCATAGCAGACATGCCAATGTGTATATGTGTCTGTCTTCGCCTCGTTTAATAAGCTGCATTTAAAGTTCATACAAAGTTCATAAAAAAGCTTTTATCGGAGAATCGATTTCGGAAATCGATCAAGTGAAAGAAAATCTTGGCGTAACTGTATCAAAAAACTTGAAATGCGGATTCCTCAACATAATATCATCAGTGGTACGAATGAAAACGCCGAAATATGGTATGTCGACGCAGATACGTACCGCTCAAGTTCTTGCTTATAATGTACGTAGCCAATAGTGCCCAGAGAGATAATAGCTGATGCCGCACATACGACCTTTGATGACCTTGACATCTTTTGACCTCGATCGCACACCGCGGGCACGCTGAAAAGTCGTTGCTGAAACAAGTTTTGCCGTTGCATAATTTAATGACGATACTAATTTATAAAGCGTCTATTTTTAACATATAATCTTCAATAAACTGAAAAGAATATAGTGTAAATATCGAAACAGGTTTGTTAGGAAGTCAAAAAGGTTCATTATAGAAAAATGATTTATATAGACCTTTAAACATAAATTATAATGAAGCACTTTGTTTGTTATTTTGAATATTATATTTATCATTTAGTTCTATATTGAAACGGAATTTAGTGTCTTAAAATGAAACTCATTTATTTGCACCAAACATAGTTCGGATTTTTAAAAATCATTTCACAACAAAAAATTGACTTTTCAAGCGCACCTTCTCTTGCTTTATTAGTATAAACGGTTTCATTCATTATTTGGATATATATACATGTATAAAATATATGCGCACTACTACTTAAACCCACACACCAAAAAAATTAGCCCTCAAATTGATCGCAACCGCAAAGAGTTGACGAACATGTGTTGTATGAATTCACAGTCCAGGGATAACATCTGTTTTCCATTTTTGATCGGCCCAGTCCGGAATGTGCTTTCGGTTTTCTATGAATTGGTCCTTTGTCATGGCTTGGGAGCTAACGTAGTCAGTCGCGCCGTATACTGAACCGCCTAACCAGGCCGTTACGTTCGCGCAGCAGGGCGTTGTGTGAAATTTAAATTTATCTAAAAAAAGCTTCCCCTTGTAACGAGGCTCCTGTAGAAGGGCCAGGAGCTCCTCCTTAAGACGACGTTTAAATCCAGGAAGCATGACGGTTCCGCCTATGAGGACTATATTCTCTGCGAGGACACGACGAGAATCACGATTACATTGTAAGAGGACATCAAGTACAAGAGTCGCTACTGAAATCATTTCATTATCCAACTCGAAGAGACACTCCGGTGCAAATTCTCGTAGCGTGCCAGGAATTTCAAGGACTTTGTCTCCCTCGAGAGGATACCTCACGTCAGACGGGGCTGGCAATTCAAGCTGGCGTCCTTCACAGAAAGCTTCCTGAAATGTCTGCGCCTGCATGTGACGCTCTCTAGGCGTGATGAAGCATGTACGAACTTTTATGTCCTCAACTATATGGCCATTAGCTAGAACATCGGGGTTTAATTCTCCGAGAAAGCAGGTTTGCCCATCGGAACAAAGTACTCTGCCGAATTTCAGCAAAAAACTTTCGAGTCTTCGATGAATCTCATATGAGCCTAGGGGTGCATCCCCGAGCGCCTGCAGAACGCACACCCCTTCGAATACTGGCAGAACCGTCGTTTCTCGAAAGCCAACATTGACTACGAGCGCTGTGTTCAATCGAAGTGTGTAAAGAGCGCAAAGATGCGAAGGGACAAAGACGATAGCCGGCACTTCAAAGTGCTCATATAGAACGCTGGCAAGTGTATCCTTGAACTCAGTGGGAACCATAAGTGACTCGACGACCACCAGGCGACGATCTTTGGGGCTTGTACACAAATGTTTGTAGTACACAGTATAAAGGAAGTCTTGCAGGAGATGAGGTAGTTCACTGGCGTGGCTGTACGAGTAGAGATCATGGCCGGCCACTTGAGATGGGATCACGGCACGCGGGCTTGGCTCTCGGGCAAACCCGCATTTGGTATAAGCTCTACCCAACTCCAACACTACCGGATTTTTGTCTGAGCTTAAACTGTAGTCGGCCCCCGAACTATATCGAGGCGTTAGAGTATTCGTTGAGGTCATCGTCGTTTTTGAAGTCGCCTCTGTTCTCAACAATACAGTCGTGTATGTACTTCTGCCTCGTTGTACATATCGCAAAATTACTCTTGGGTTTAGACGATAACAAGACAGCTAAGTCTCATTCTATTTGCGCATAACGATTATACATCATCGATTATAGGCTACAAAATTATGTAAAACGGTCGGCAACTTATCATGTCAGATTGTTCTATAACTCACCTATGTTGTTGAATTGCGGACGCGGCCATCTTTGTTTCGTATGGCATGCGCGCGCATATTCGAAGATTTCTTTCGCTATTGGATACGCCAGCGTAGATCGCAAGGTATTTAAGACCTAAAAATGAATAATAGAGGAACACAGATCAATATTATGGAAAATAGACAACTACATTAAATAATAATAACTATGTGCATATAATTAATATTTAAGTTCAATCAGAATAAAAACGCTGCTGATAACAAACTGCAACAAAACCAAATTTTCCACTGTCGTCGGTTTTCCGACGTATTCCCTCGAGAAAAATTATTGGCGTCAGGGCTGGAGAATGAGCAGGGTATTCTATAGGATTTTTTCGTCTCAACTCATTTGTTTTAAAGCTTCTTATCAAGATATGCTCTTACATTAGTGATAATGTGCAGCTGCTCTGTCGTGTTGAGAAATAAAATTCGCCACCTTTTCCAAAATACTTCTAAGTGCATGGTAAAACAGATTCTTGCGGTAAATTTAACTTAATGACACTAGGGGGTTCTAGTTGGATGATAATGCATACATTTTTTTAGGACGCTTCGTGAATATGTGTACATACATACATAGAGTCATATTATATAAATCTAGGTCCTTTTCGAGCTGATATATTGTTGCAATCCAAACCATATATGATAGACGCTGTGGGTAGGCTATTCATGCGTAAAATCTGTCTGTGTTGCTGTCGCTTGGTCCATTATGTTCATGATTCTTTTTTGCTCTCCCGCTATCCCGTTTTTATATTAGTATTGCTTTGGCACTTATATTTGTATATTTTGGAAGAATCATTGTTTATATGTTTTATGATATATTTTGTAATATTGTTATTTTACTTTTAAACGGTCTAATAATACCCTCTCTACAATACGTTGTTACTGTTTTTTCAATTTGCCTTATTATTCCAATGTTATATAAAATGTTCAATAACCTCTTTTGAGACGCATATATACCTGTTCTCGGTAATTTTTGCGTTGTTAAAAATATTGGTTATGGAAGACATTTATTTCAACTAATAAACACTTTTATATGTTAAACAAACATTATTTCAGAAGTTACAAATCCGTTTGTTACAGGTAGCGTTTCCTTCGCTTCTAGACCATACTTGTTAACTGTTTGGTAGAGGTACTGGTAGAGGCGTTAATATATGTTATTGTTTTTGTGCTGTGTTCTGTGATATGACAACATCACTTAAAACAGAAAAGTAGAAGCAAGCGTAAAGGGCAATTTCCATTCTGAAAACAGTGCTACCAATACTGTGCTTGCTAAACAATTGCTTAAACTCATTACGGTTGTATATTAGTAGGCATTTGTATAAACCTCGCTAAATGTGCTTCTAGATTTCTTAATAGATTTATGGTCATTTGGCACGCTAGGGCACTTGTCCAAACATTGTTCGCGCCCGAAAATCTGTGCGTTCTGCAGCCGCATTATGGACATTCCGCTACAGTGTCTACTGAGACCAGCAGAGTGCATGATTGAGAACAAAAAATTCACGAGCTTTTATCCATTGACCGGTATAGATACGGTTGATCGTAGTTAGACGCATATTGAACGAGTATCGACCGCAATAGCATAGTAGCATATAGACCTATATAATCATATAGCGTATAGACAACATATAATAAAAATATAAAAAACTGCTTTACGATTTACAATTTAGTACTAAACATGACAAATCTTTTTAAATGTCAAGCAATAAGAATTTTTGAAGCAATGTAGCTCTAGAGTAAAACGGCTCATAATTAAAGGCCATGAAACAGGCATATCTTCCATCCACATGCATAACAAAAAAAAAGTATGGTGTTATAGAGTATTTAGGGGAACGTCGTGCGAAATAAAATCTTTAATTTCCTTTTTCTCATTTTGAATCCTTCCACTTAAACTTTTTCTAGGTGAAAATTAATTTAAGGCAGTACATTCAGTGCGGCGTTATTTTTTTACAGAGTATGCCCTTTAAGAGGCCCAATCAGCCAATTAGCATCGTCGGGTATGGTTCTAACTAAGGAACTGTGTTGCATTAAAATCTTACGCAAATTGTTAGGGCTAGCCAAGCCCCACGTACGCTAGGTGCGGTGGCGTAAATAAATAGCAGAAATATACTAAGATATTTTTCAGTACAAATATTCAACACAAAACTTATACCTGTATCTCTTAGAACTGTATTCATTGATTTTGATTAGGAACGAAAAGCGCATTTAAGGTGTTCGACGATCTCACATATATCTATTCAGTCGATAGCATCTAACGGTACAGGGGCGCTAGGAGGCGCTGCAGTTAAGCTCAAAGTAATGGGTCCGAAAGTGCTAGAGCCTAAAGACGATGACGATGCAAAACTTCGCAAGCACAATTGGGACCTTGGTATGAAATTGGGATCGTGTTAAACGCTCTCATAGAGTTTATAGATCACTTTACAGATATCCTGATGTCGCATCACGCGGTGTAATCAATGCTGTCTCTAAAGCAAAGGCAACGCGGTAAGGGACTATTTAAGGCAATGCAGAATAATTCGTATATATATATATATATATATATATAATTTTTGTATAGCATGTCGGGTAAATATCCCTCGTCAATTTTTTCGTAGGCAAGGATGTACATTTAGAAAACCTAATTTCTGCAACAATTATAACGACAACCGTCGTGAATTTTAAAAAAATGTGAATAAAACAGCCTCTGATTGAAAGGGATTAGGAGTAGCTGGTTTGAGTCCTTTTAGTAACATGTAAATATCACACAAGTAGCGTGAGGAAAGAAAAAAGTATTTCTTTTAATGAAGAAACATGTAGCAGATTCTAATCCTAAAGTAAAAAAACTATGTTAAAGATAACGGTTGTGACTTTAAATATTAGACCAAAAGAAAGTTTTGCGACTTTTTTTACCAAATAGAAAACACTAGTTTTTTTGGGTCTGCGACAATAGGTTGTTATGTTATCCCCCGTCATTTTTCAAGATCTTCCAGCAAATAATGTATGCCTTTTCGCTAGAAGGTAGCGGCTTTCGTTTGGGCCAACGCCAGTTTAGGTTTTTAGTTCTGGTCGAAAATAGGACCACGAGGGTCATTGGCCAATAGACGGAAAAAGTGAACTTTTGTCGGGGCATGTCCGGAGAACATATATAGCAAAAAAAATTCTCATTTGAAGTTCCGGAAGGCAGTTTTGACGAAGTTTGTCACGTATGGTCTTGCGTTGTTTTAAAGCCGGATGATTTGATCTCGTTTATTGGGTTTTTTTTTATTTGAATAGCCCAGTCGACTTGATGCCAAACAAGCGCGCTGATCAACTGTTCATAAGAAGCAATGCCCAATGAATCAGACCTACGCAATCCCGCTAAACGCAAAACCTCCTTTGGATGATGATCTGGTTAGGCTATAGCCTTTGTATTCTCTCCTAAAGCAGCATATTTTGGTCTGTGGTTCATATTGACGTATGGACACAAGTTCTCCAGTGACCCTTCTGTGTAAAAATCGGTTAATGTGGCCGCGTGACTTTCGATGCCAGGCAAAGTATTGAGATACAAAGTTAAGTCGTAATTTATAGTTGGACTGACAGAGTTCATGAAATATCCAAGCTCCAAGTTGCTGTACAAACCGAAGGGATTTGAGGTGGTTAATAACAATCCTGTGGCTGCAGTCCATGCTTTCGGGCAATCCCCAAGATCTATTCGCTTATATCGCCTTTCCTCAAACGTGTTTTCAGACGGTTGTCACCACGCTTAGACGGTCGATCAAAGCAGGAGGCATGCTCTAAATCCCTGGTACCGTTTTTAAACTTTACAAACTACTTTTAACAACAAACTACTGTCCTCCTAGCAATATCGTAATTAGCTTAAACAAGGCAAATGACCCGGGCCTTTGCGGCAGCGTTTGATTTGGAACATCTTTCTTCAACAACGTTCTTTTGAGTTGAGATCGCGTTCGCAAGACAATGCTGTTACAGCCGCTGGTAGTGCAGCAATACCGCGTTCCTATGCGAAATGCGTTATATGTGTAGATTTCTGCATCAACAATAATGCGCATTTCCGCTCATTAAAATGACCTTGGAAGTAATCTAATTAGTTTTATCGAAGCTAAGCCTTGCATCCAGTTACCTTGAAAAGTCCTCTGGTTTTCTTGTTCCTAGTATAGACCGTTTTGGCAGCAGAGTTACTGCTGACATAAGCTTCGGGCTGAAGCAACAACAATTACGATCACTGTGGGGTCGATTGCGGTCAACACGTTCTGTAAACGTTTCCTTCGCTTTTGTTCGCTTTTCCCGTACTAGACGATAATAAGCTTACCGAGGTTGTATGCCTTTAAAGCAGATTTGAACCATGTAGCAGTCAGCCCCATCAGCTATCGAACATTAAAGTCGATTACAGATCTCGCTGATCTCGGGGAAGTGTGGGTAAAGCAGATAGTAGCAGCGAGGTGTACAATGATCAATCAAACCTGTTTCGCGGCCCCGAAAGCAAGGCACGAAATAAGTCGAATGTCATCGACCTTGTTAGTTGTACGCGGCTTCTAGGTAGACGTTTTCGCTCGCTCGATAACCCCTGACTATTCTTACCAACCCTTTGCGTTCGTTCTCTGCGCAATTAGAACTTCCTATGGCCTTCTCCTTTCAACGAATTAGTTACCTTTCACGGGGTCCCTGCATTCCTACCACCGCAATTTCGATTCGACAGTGTTGCCTGGATGGGAACCAATTTTAGCTATAAGCCAAGGAGGCCCCATAGCGTATTATCGGCAAGTAACTAAAGAGCAGGGTGCCTAAGCATGTACGCGTATGCAGTTATCACGCTATTATCAGACTGCACCGTATAGGTACACCTCGCTTTCTTCATGCTGTTCCTTTATTCCTCGCGAGGATGTTCGTAACCACTCATTTAGGCAATGAAACGGAGAGGAGGCGTATAGGCGCTAGGTGGGTCAAAAAGCCACTGACTTTCACCTTCTCCATGCGTCCTCTCCCATGTTCATTATAAATCA